ATTCCGAAAAAAACTGGTAATATTTTTTAATTTGAGTAATCTTTTCTTGAGAAAACACAAATCAGATTGAGTCAAACACACAAATTCGAAATTAATTCAGTTTAACTTTGCATTTTATTCGTATACCTGTGACGATGCTAATGGAGAGCAACAGCACCGCAACGCGAGTATTATAAATTAGCGCCATTTGCACACCTTTACGTTTACTTTGTGAGTTTCTAACTGTAACTGAAAGATTTACCTTTACTGGCTAACTAAATTCAGGATTTCCAAAGCAATACAATTTCTAATCGCTTACGATAATCTAATCATGCACAAATTTTTAAGTCAAACAGGTGTTTATCTCATTGACTCCACTACATATATAAAATAGCCTGGCAGTGCAATAAATCGGAGTGCGCTAGTACCAAAACAATTTCATATCGATTCACTACTTAGTTTAATGCTTAATGCTTATCTTGTCCACTAATTGGTCGTTCTGCAGTTTTTTATTTTTAATTTTAACCCTTTAATGCCTCTCCAATAGTAGAAAAGCAAAGCAACTGGCATGAAATGCTTTATAGGGTAAACCAATTAAATATTTTTGTTCTTGTTTTTATTTTGAAACTATTTTCCTTTATGAAGGGGCTAAGACGACCAAATTTGACTTGACATTTGAAAATTCCATGGGGTATATACTTTAGCTACTACTTAATAAAGTAAAATTTACCTCAGAGAAGCCGTATTGGCCTCTTAGCAAACACAGTTTTGAATTATGATTTGCTATCGATTTTGATTAAACGGTGTATGGCATATTAATTCCTTGAAGTTGAGTATATCATTTTTCTTATTAGCACCTGCCCCAAAATACCCCTGTTGTCATTCAAATGCCATAAACGTATTAATATTTATGTAAGTGTTCATGTGTAGATAGGAGGTACACTGTATAAAGCAGGAAGGAGGCGCTGTTTCGAAATTGATATTTTTTTGTGCCAAAATCTCAAATCTCGCTAGGAAATAAATTTAACAGTCATTTAAATATTTTTTGATGTAGAATTCTGGAGTAATTGTCGGGTTGCATAAAGAAGTACGGGTTTTTGTTTTATTTTACTTTTTTTTTGCCAGCTTTCAGGCAACTTTCAGGTAACTTTTTAAAAGCTTTTAACCTAGTATATAGGTATGTATATTTGCTGTTGTTGTGTCAAGGAGTCCCTTT